TGCGAAATTTCAAAAACACACACAAAACGCTGAAAATAAACAAATTATTAAGTACATATTTGGAATTTACAGGTTAATAGCACGATTTATTTGGTAAAAATTACGTTCTATGGAAATTAAATTTTTTTCAAATATTCAAACAACAAAGTTCTAGAATGACTTGTTTGGTTCGTTTGTGTTGTTAAGCACAAAGCTACGCAATGCGTTATGTGCCCATCACGGGTATCGAAATCCGATTTTAGCACTCTAAGCCTTGTGGCTTACCACTGAGCCACTAGAGGGCTCTAGAATGAAGAAATTTTTTTTATGGTAACTTAAAAAAATAATATTAAATTAATTAAAAATACTTTCTCGCAATTTTGAATTTCAAAAGTGGTTACAAATAGTTATATTTATAATTAATAACTTACATTATTTTACCTAAAAAAATAATGGCATTAATGATCAAAAGATATAGTTCCAGCTTGTGTTTCCACATTTTATCTACGACCGTGAGGGTTTGGTCATATTTTACTAGCATGTATAAAATGTATAATACACATAATGGAAATTATTGGTGGACTTTCAAAAGAGCAAGTGTTACTCATGCATGCCGCTTTGAAATGCTTTTAATAACACTGCAGCTCGACTTAAGGAAATATTGTGTTTAGTAATCATACTTCTATAGCAATAAATAAAAATTATACAAATTCATGAAATGCAGATTAAAGCCTCATGAGCGTTTTTATTTTTGTAAATTCTTGTTCATTTTTTTTAGAGTAAAGCGTCACAGTGAGATATCTGTGCTGTGCTAATCGCAAGGATCGAGCACAGATTTTTAGCGTTATAAGCTCTCACACTTACCAGTGAGCCACCAGGGATCGTTTGGATGGATTTCTCTAATATTCAACACCTTTCCCTGACCACCATCTGTGGTTGGTTAACTGTTTTAGTTAGAAGTCACAGATCACGGAGATAATCAGTAATGCAGATTTTACACAGTTCGATCCAGTAATCAGAAACCATCCATTAGTTTTTTTTCTGTGACGTCACAGGTATTTTACTGGATAGTCACTTATCACACTTAACATTTTCTTGTCAATAAATCGTAGATGAAAGAACAGTTGATCCCAACATGACAACGATATGTGATTAACTCATAAATGTCAAATAAGGGAATGTTTCATCTGTGGATGCATTCTTCAGGACCAAAGATTAACCCTTAAGAGCACGAAACAGTTGTCCATTTTTAAAGGGAACTATTACGTGTTCCTGATTTATAATTAAATATACATAAAAAATTGTCTCCATGTTGAGTCAGCTGCCGTAGCATAAAAAATGTGATAGATATATCGTGTTGTAGAATTATGAAATTATTTACAAACTAGCAGTTATGTAGTTAAAAAACTTGATTAATAATTTTCAACAGAAAGAAGTTGAAAATAATCCAAAGGACAATGCAGTGGAATTAACAAGAGCACTGAGTACATAGAAAACTGCTACAAGGGTGCAACAGTAAACTATGTTCAAATATATAACTTTGGACTGCTGGTTCTCCTGGTCAAAAACTGTTGGTGGCATCTTAAGAAGTTGGAAAATAACACCTCATTATAGCGATCAAACGCAAGTAAAAACTAATGAGCTCACAAAATGGGTTCAGTTACGAGGGGTCCAAATACTTAAACCCAGAAGTCTCGATCCCCACTTCCGCTTGCTATCCATGATCAGTTGCAAACACAACAGTAACCCTTCTATACATCATTATTATAAATACTACAAGAACCATAAGAGAAAAAATAATTATATTAATTCATCAAATAGATACCGATGTATTACAAAACTGACAAGTATTGTGCCAGGCAAAGATATAAGTAGGAAATATTTAAGAATTATATTCAGTGTAGTTCTGTGAACGAAGTTTTTTTTTATCAACGTGAATTTGTCGTATGTTTAATTATTTGTAAATTTTATCCAAATTTTAATATAAATTCCCGATGCACAAAAGTTAAGGATTTCATTTCTGAATTAATAAAATATAAATTAAATATCGAAGTTTTAAACTGCGATATTAAAGGAAACCTGTATTGTGGTATTAAATTTAAAAATAATGGTTTTGTTGACCAGGCTTAACCTTTATTAGTTCATGAAAACTGTAAAAAAAAGATGATATCTCTATTAGACCTTTACAGTTGATTATCAGTTATAAACACGAGTTACTAAGTGAATATGTTTTTTGCAAATATAATACTTTCATTATAGAATAATGGTAATCACTTTTCAGTCCATTGTTATGAAGTCAGGCATCTAGTTATCAGTTATTGATCTGAATTGCAAATGATTGGTTAGCCAGCCTATACTATACATGTATATAAGGATATAATACAATCTTGTCTCACTCGTCACTTTGGCGTAAATCAAAGAGTTCAAAGTACTCTAAACTGAACATGGACCATGGCTAGGCCTCAGACAAAATGTTTAGATATTTTGCTAATATGAGAAAATGGAAGACAGCCATTCACAGCGAATTGGCTTCAAGTATTTTAATGTGTTGTTGACAGAATGTGGAACAACTTCAAAACCGACGGTCCTTCGGACACCTGTAAAAGGCAAAACTGTGATCCACGACACAAATAAATAACCGTTATCTATTGATTTAGGCTTACTGCAATTGTAGGTTATAGGCTTTGAGATTGAATCAAATGCTCGCAACCGCAACTGTCCATCATATGCCCAAAACATGTTCAATGGGCCAACAACACAAGGATCAATATATATATACTACCAGATGAGAGTCAGCGCTCCATCCTGTTGACATGAAACACACATATACGATTTTGGGAAGAAGTCTGAGCCAGACATACTCACTTTCATACAATCATATATCGCATATTGTGGTGTTGGAAATAAAGTGTTAGGAGGACTAACCATTGGTGAAATCATCGGCCTCTCCATTCTGCGAAACGGTATCATTAATCTCATACATACATCATACGATCCTTTGTGTTATTATATGCTGGTGCAATCGAATCTAAAAACATTCGTTTATAGGAATTGGAAAGAATAGTTCAAGACCTCAGCGACACTGGTTTTAAGCATACAACATCACACTCTATATTAAAGTAAAATGATCTATAAAGATGTGAAAAACAACAACAGCATCTACAAGTATATACTTAATACCAGCAATTTGCGTTTTAGATCATTAAAATTAACTGAAAAGGGGAATTGATGTTACTGTATAATACTGGTTCTATTTTGTCATAGATATAATGTTGCATATTCCGATTACCCTTTAACTGTTTCGAACAGTTTATCATTAAAGTTGTCAAAACCAATCTGAAGTCTATTAATATATTTAAATACAATGTGAATATTTTAAAAAAACAACGTTTTACAGATTCAAAATAATTTTGTTTGACTTTCGCGCATAGCTACACGAGAGCTATCTGCTCTAGCCGTCCCTAATTTAATAGCGAAAGATTAGACGAAAGACAGCCAGCCAGTCATCACCATCCACTGCCAACTCTTGGGCTACTCTTTTACCAACGAATAGTTGGATTGATCGTCACATTATAACGCCCCAAACGCTGAAAAGACGAGCATGTTTGGTGGGATGGGGATTTGAACCCGCGACCCATAAATTACGAATGGAGTGTCCTAACAACCTGGCCATTCCAGGTTATATAGATAAGACTTATCTATAGAAAAATATGTCCAAACTTAAAGTTTAATTCAAACTGTTTTGAAACTATTTGCTACTATTCTTAACAAAAGTATCATTTACAAAAATCACCTTAATACAAACATTTCAATATAAAATTTTTATGCTCCTGTTTTGAAACACTCGGA